GCCTTTTCCGCAAAACTGAGATTCACGGCATCTTACAAATTAAAACTACAATATAATTAAAAACATACAAAAAGATGACATTTAAAACAGAATTAAACTATTAGCCATATCAAAGTGTTTAAAACATACACTTTTCAACAATTTTTAACAACAAGTAAACCACTACAATTTAAAACCACACAGCATGCTCTTATAGCATTCGGAAAACTCAGTGGGCAATGAGACTTCTTCATTACAGTGTGATGGTAAACTTATTACTTATTTTTACAGTCTCAGCTAGATCTATACTTAGTTCTGTTTAGTGTAAATCAGGGGTAGGCAACCTTTTTGATGCGTGGGCCAGTCCCCCAAAGTCCTCCCGTCTGCTGGGCCAGGGGGGGGGATGGAGGCACACCCATGCATGTGAGCATGCACGCACCCCGCTGCAGTGCATGACCACCCCCCCGCACGCTGTCGCCACCGCCGCCACTGCTGCCGCCGCTGCGGCACTTGCAGCTGCCATTTTGAAAATCAAAAAATGGCGGCCATGACGCATTTGCGCATGCGCAGGAGTACTGTACATGCTCAAATGAGTTGCGGCCGCCATTTTGGAGAACATGTTCTCCAAAATGGCGGCCATGACTCGTTTGCACATGCACAGTACTCCTGCGCATGTGCAAACGCATCACGGCCACCATTTTGATTTTCAAAATGGCGGCCACGGCACGCGTGGCCGCACAGAGGAGAAAATGCACCGCGGCGGCAGCGCAAAGTGGCGGCGGTGGCAGGGATCGGCCTGGGCCGGTAAGTCTGGCGACCTGGGCCGGAACCGTCCCGGGGGCCATAGGTTGCTGGCCCCTGGTGTAGATCAACTGAAATCAATACATCTTAAGTTAATTTTCACAGATTTATGTCCCATTGATTTCAGTTAGTCTATCCTGATAGAGAGCCAGTGGGGGTATTTGCTTGAGTGTTGGATTAGAACTCCAGGACATCTGGTTCACTTTCTTCTTCAGCCACAGAAAGCCACTGGATGTCCTTGGGCACTCAGCCTAAGAGGGCGGCCATAAAACAACTTTTTTGTGTGTCTAGTTCTGTTAGAACAAAGTTGTGTAGAGCAGTGGAAGTTGGTAGGTTTCATGGCAATCAACTATTCAAAGCATTGAATCAGTTTTGAGTTTAAAGTTTAGAACCTTTTTAAGAACAGACTGAAACCTGGAATGGATTCACAACCTCACTGACATGAAAACCACTAGCTACCACTTGTCCAGAAAGAGCTGCCCCGTCTTTTCCTAAGACTTCCTTACATCAGTAGTTGCTCACTACAGTGAAAGGCCTGACCAACAGCATGGTCAACTGAATTGTGGAAAAATCTGAGACTTCAAAGACAAGAATAGCTAGGATCTTTGTTGTGACCCCCATCATGCCAATCCTGCACTCACCTCCTATATTTGTGATACAGTAGGTAAAGAGCAAGATAGTCTTAAGTTTGCAAGACCTGAGCAGAGCTGTTAATAACAAGGTGTCTTGGAGGTCCCATTCGTAGGGTTGCCATAAGTCAATGCCAGCTGGATAACAATTAATAACAACAATGCTGTGCCCTCCTCCCCTATTTGAAACTGCCTTGTTGATGCCATTTTCAAAACTATCAATTCAAGTCTTTATTCTAGTTTTATACATTCCAGTATGTTACCAAGGAGTAAGAAGTTGCTATGCAATTGTTACATTTCAGCCCACATAACTACCATTGTTCTACACTGCTGTTTCCTCTCCACTTTTCCTATACAGCCACATGGTAAATAGAAACCCACATCCCACTGGGTATTTATGCAATTAATATATGTCAATTTGCAGCCAAATCCCCAGGTCTAATTACTAATGCCATCTGTTTCTGAAAGGAGTATTAATTTGTTACTATATTCCTTCCTATGTGAGTGACAGCATTTGCTGCATGTATTCTGTAATGGTTTGCAGTCATGCCTTCAGATCTCTCAATTGTTTACAGTTAAGACATGCCAATGAAATATCCTGCCCTGACTTTTTGTCTTTGCTTTCCTCACAGAGGTGCCTTTTCTGAAGTTTTCCTGGTGAAGCACAGAACCACCGGCCAGCTTTTTGCTTTGAAGTGCATTAAAAAATCACCTGTCACACAGGAAAGCAACCTTGAAAATGAAATAGCCGTGCTGAAGAAGTGAGTATATATATTTATGTACATACACACACAGCCTATAAGGTTGTATTTATGGAGCTTCATCACTGAGGATTTCAGGATGAAACAGATTATCCAGATCCATTTCAATCTGGTTTAAAGCCTGGCTATGGGATAGAGACAGCTTTGGTCCCCTTGGTGGATGACCTACACTGGGAACCAGTCAGTGGAAGTGTGTCCCTGTTGGTTCTGTTTGGCTTCTCAGCAGCTTTCAATTCCATTGACCATGGTATCCTTCTGGGCTGCCTCTCTGAAGTGGGTATTATTCTCTGGTGGCTCCATTCCTTCCTGGAGGGGTGAAGCCAAAAGGTGATACTGGAGGTCTCCTATTCAACTCCATGACTGTTGGCCTGTGGAGTCCTTCAATGTTCTGTTTTGTCCCCCATGATATTTAACCTATACATGAAACTGCTGGGAGACATCATTCAGAGTTCGGGGGTGCAGTTCCATCAATATGCAGATGACACTCAATGCTACCACCCCTTTCTACCCCAATCCAAGGATGTCATGGTCCTAAACCAGTGTCTGTCATCAGTACTGGAATGGATGAGGGCAAAGAAATTGAAACTTAATCCAGACTCCTGGTCCATCAGAAGGCAAATCAGGGAATAGAGATTCAACCTGTATTCATTGGGGTTACACTCCCTCTGATGACACAAGTTTGAACCTGGAGGTCCAGGCTTTTACAATGGCCTGGAGTGCTTCTGCACATTTAAAGCTTGTGCACCAACTGCACCCATTCCTTGAGATGTCAGAACTGGCCACAGTGGTACATGCCTTAACTTAAATCCTATTTGGACTACTGTAATGCACCCTACTTGGGGCCTTTGAAGGGTGTCTGGAAACTGCAACTAATCCAAAAGAGCTGTAGCCATATTGGGGCAGGTTTACAGAGACCATATAATGTCCTTGCCAGTTTATTTCCAGGCACAATTCAAAGTACTGGTTATAGGTATAAAGCCCTATATGGCTTAGGTCCAGGCTGTCTATCAGACCATATCTCCCTGTATGAACTAGCCTGGGCTCTTAGATCATCAGGAGGGGGCCTTCTCTCCATCTCACCACCATTGCAAGCACAGTGGCTTCCCTTGAACCTGGAACTTCATTCCCTGGGAGGCCAAAATGGTCCCTTCCTTAATCTTCTGTTGTCAGGCTAAAACTTTTTTATTCAGATAGACTTTTAAAACCAAAAGTTGTGTGTGTTTTTAGTTTTAAATGGATTTTATTAATAGCTTTGCCAACAATCAATATAATCAACATAAAATACATTCTATGAGCCTTGGGGGTCAACTAAAAGAGTTTTATAGGAAAATTATTTATCCTGGGATAGCGGTAACACTCAGAGTTCAGGGTGTCATCTCACTCCATGGCAGCTGGTGAGACCAAGTCCAGAATATCTCTCCAATAGATAGTTTGATGGGTTGGAGGTCCAATAATGTTTATGTTGCTACTAATATATTCAATAAGAACAGACAAATCCTCAAAAAATGTGTATGCTTTTTTTGTCCATTGCAAAACCTGAAGATGTAGGAGAGTTTTTCTGACAACCATGTGTCCCAAATCCTCTTCCATCAGTTGCTCAGTTGAACAGCTCCTGTTTTCCAACATCTTGTGATTAAAACAGAAAGTTTTTAAAGAATGGGCTAGAGGGTACTGTATTGTTTTAACTGAACTGTTTTAAAGAGCTTTTTATCTATTTAGTTTTATTTTATTCTTTTAACTTGAAATGTGAATTGTTTTAATACAGTAAATAGTTAAATTCTATTTTATTATTAACTCTGGTATTGTTCTTTTAAATTGTGAGCTGCTCTGAGCTCCAATCTGGGCAAAAAAGTGCAATCAAAATAAATATCATAATTATTATCATTCAAATATTTGTTTCAACATCAGGGATGAAAAAAACCAATACTGAAACAGCAATATTGTATTAATGATTTAATTTACTAAATGAAAGATTGCTTTAATTGTTTTCTCTATCTTCGTCCTAGCTATCTTTTCAGCCCAAGTACATACAAAATATAAAAGTAGCTAAAATATAAATAAAACTGCAATCCCTAAGCAACTCTAAAATGTCAAGTGGTTTAGATCAGGGCAGAACAGCTCAGTGGCATGTTTTGTAAAGTGAATGATAATTTTTTCTTAGGTTCTTACACCATCTTTGACTTATAACACAGTCCTACCATGGCTCTCAATAATAATAATAATAATAATAATAATAATAATAATAATAATAATAATAACAATAATTTGTATCCCACCTCTCCCTGTTGAGGATCAAGGTGGGTAACAGCAAAGATTAAAACATTTACAGAAATAATAATAAGAAAATAATCCCTGAACTCCCCACCTGTAATAATAATAATGTCCCATTAAGCTCAGTAGGGCATGTTCTCAATTAAGTGGGTATATGATTGCTACTGTAAAGTAATTATTTCTTTCTAGGAAACTTGGTCACTGTAGATCTCTGGGGAACCAGAGGTATTAGAACTCTCAGAAACTATAATTCCAGGTTTCTTTCAACAAATCTATGCCAGCTAAAGTAGTATAAGACTTTTAGATGGGGGATAATGTAGATCTGCCAAAGAGCAGGGGATCATTTTTCTCTAAAGCACTATATTTTATTTTCTTGCTTGAGCCTGTTTTCATTGCAACAGAAAATTGTTGTCTCAGTTCTTCCTCATTTGGGGATAATCCCCAGGTCAAGTTAAAAGATTTATATCCCATACTATGATGGGTATGATTAAAAGAATGTGATAACATTACTCGTCTGCTTAGAAGTCGATAAATAGAGTTCAATAATATATGAAGGAGAGGCAGTGTGTGTAGTGGTTTGAGCATTCGTTAATGGCTCTGGAGACCAAGGTTCAAATCCTTGCTTGGTCATGGGAACCCACTGAGTGACTTTGAGCAAGTCACAGACTCCCTCAACCTCAGAGGAAGGCAAAGGCAAATCTCCTCTGAACAAATCTTGCCAAAAATCTCCATGATGATTATGACTATTACATTATTGCCATAAATTATGACTGTAACAATTAAGAATATCTCAGTAGTCAGTAATGTTGGTTAAGGGAATATACAATTCTCTTCTTGAAACAGCTTCACTGGCTATTGGTCCATTTCCAGACTAAATTCAATATGCTAGTTATGACCTGTAAAGCCTTGCACATCTTAGGTCCAGAATATCTAAAAGACTGTATCTCTGTATATTCTCAGGACAAAGTCTTGATACGTACACATTTTCACTGTCATGAATCCCATGATGGAAGAAAGGAAGAAAATAAATCAAATAAAAGGTTTAAGATCTCTGGGGAAGGCTTTCTCTTGGTCCCATCATAGACATGTTTGGTGGGGTCATGGGAGAGATCCTTTTCTTGGCTGCTCACAGGCTATAGAACTTTCTTCCATGGGAGGTTTGATTGTTACCCTCTCTGCTGTTTTTCTGCCAGCAGACATAGGTCTTTGGTGCTTAAATTATGAGGCAGAATGGTGTTCTGAATGAGGTTGTTGTGGTTTTACCTTTTCATCTTTCAATTATGCCTAAAGTAATTATTATTTAAATTAAAAATTGTTTAAATGTTTGTTTTTTTAAAAAAAACTCTTGAAATTACTATTTTATCTGGACTATGTTTTACTCTTTTGATTTTTTGTAAGCCATTTTGAGTCCCTTGCTAGGAGAAGGGCAGGAGAAGCAAGTTCATTTCAAGTCATGGAATTTCAGTCCAAAGAAAAACTGAACAGCACTAGAGATAAATTATTTTTAGTGTGATGTTTTCTGACACTTTCATCATTGTCAAGTATTTGTATCTTTGGTTACAGAATAAAGCATGACAACATAGTGACTCTTGAAGACATTTATGAGAGCACAACCCACTATTACCTAGTCATGCAGCTGTAAGTATCAGTTTGTAGCAAGAATGGCTGTGACTATGACAAAATGATGCCACCAACATGGAATTAATAAATGTGTTTCATTTTCTCCTTTTCTCCTTTTTTAAATTTTAAAACTGGTTTAATGCTGAATTCATACTTTATTTGAAGTCTGCGTTTGTTTTATTTTGCTGTGTGTTTTTTTTAAAGTCCAAATGAAAATTTCTACACAACTATGTGGACATTTCTCAGCTTTTTCATAAGCATATCTCACATTTCATAAGCACATTAAATCTGCACCAACTGTGTTGATTTGGGTCAATTATGAGGGTGAATCAACATCATCACCCAAGATTGTGAACAATAAATTTATGAATTGGGAGGGGGGGTCTGTTGTTCTGTTTACCTCTTCTAAGGACAGCACCACAGAGGAGTAAGTGAAGGAGTAGTCAAGAGTCCATTCCAAAAGTCACACAACATGAGTCCAGTACTTAACAGCTAAGGAAGAAGCAGAAGCATAGTCACAAGGTAGTTCCAGGGGCCAGAAAACAGGAATCTGATAGCAAAGAACAGGATACAAAGCAACTAGAAAAGCTACAAGACTGATTGTCAGCTGCAGGGAATCATATCAGCTGGAGCCTTTTAAAAAGCCTCAGTGTGCCTCACAGCATGCCTCAGCTGATCGTGATTAGCTCTCCTTTTGGCTTCTAGCCTAGATGAATGCCTCAAGGATTCCTTGGCTTGTCTTTGCTCTACAGGTCCTAGTACCAGCAGCATAGAGTCTGTTTCTCCCTCTGCAGCCTCCTGTGTCTCCTCTGAGACTGCAGAGCTTTCAGGTAACCGCAGATCTGTCTCCTCAGCCTTAGAGTCTGCCTCTGCCTCTAAAGCAAAGTCAGACCCAGGGCAGTCCATGACATTTGTGTTAGTATGGTGAAGCAAAAACAGTAAAGCATATTAAAGACTAATATGTTTTACTTGGCACATGCTTTCATGTAGCCCATTTCATCACATGGACCAGGGTGTAGAATAATTTAATTGTGAAGCCAGCACAAATGGGAAGGCCATAAACATTATAGCAGCACTGTGAGATAAAACTACATGAATATGTATTCTTTGTCACTGCTGTAGTACTTAAAGTCTACAGATCTCTAATGAATGGGTAAATTTGCCAAGTCATAGATTATTCTGTGTTGTTGAACTGACTGAATTTATCTTTCAGACCCCTAATAGCAATAGCACTTACATTTCTATACTGCTTTATAGTGCTAAGCAATTTCTAAGCAGTTTACAATGTATTAGCCAATCAACCCCAACAAGCTGGGTACACACTGGGCACCCTAAGGCTTAGGCTAACTTCTTTCTCCATTTTGAATGCTAACAATGCTAACAATGCTACCCCACATATATCCACTCAGAACTCAGGTTCATAATTAAACAGTACTTTATCAGATCCTGGTGCAGAAAACCATTTTCAGTTGATTTATGGGTCATAAGGCACATTATCTTTCCCTCTCCATTCATACAAAATGATAAGTTTACTTCATCCCAGAATTATGAGCTTGTTTATGACCTGTTCAGAACAAGAAAAAAGAAAATCTTCCAGTGCAAGTGACTTTTACCTTTATCCCAGCTGAAGTGTTTTGGTCAAAAGGCTGCCAATAAAAAATACAGGTTGAGTCTCCTTTATCCAAACTGCTTGGGACCAGAAGTGTTTCGAATATTGAATTTATTTATTTATTTATTGGATTTTGGAATATTTGCATATGCTTAATAAAATATCTTGCAGATGGGACCCAGGACTAAACATGAAGTTCATTTATATTTTATATACACATAGCCTGAAGATAATTGTATACTCAATATGTTTTTAATAATTTTGCGCATGAAACAAAGTTTTTGTTTTATACTAGTTGGTCAACGGGCCCACGCATTGTGCTGGTCATACCCTCGATGTGGTCTTTAGTACGGAGCAGGAATATCCATGGGCGGAGGTCATAAAAACCTCTGCATTGTCATGGACAGATCACTTTCTGATCAAGGTGGAACTAAAGGCTACTGTTCGCACTCCCAAGGGTGGCGGACCTATTAGAATGGTCCGCCCTCGAAGGCTAATGGAACCAATTGGTTTCCAGAAAGCCTTAGTGGGTTTAATGGTGAGTGATGCCGGTGATTCTGTCGAAGTTTTGGTTAACATATGGAACACCGATCTTACCAAGGCTATCGACACGAT